GGTAAACCAGCCTTTCTAGCATTGACGATTACTATTGCTTATTTCTTTCTTTGCTCAGACTCAATACTTCTGACATCAGCTGTGTGAGTTTTCCCCATAGATGACCAATTCTCCAACATTAGCTGGGTGTCCTACAATTCAATTTAATTCTGAGACTGTGTACCTGAAGTTAGGATCAGCTGCCACAGGTTAAGGGCCCAGTCCCACAGACTGCCATCACTTTAGGAGTCATTCACAGGTTCACACACTGCTGTTTGACTTGGCTACAAATTGGGGGTTCTCACAACCTCTCCTCAAGTATGATAACTTGCTAGATTGGCTCACAGAACTCAGGGAAACACCATGTTTACTGGTTTATTATATAATAAAGGGTATGATTAAAGCCTTGGTCGGCAAACTGCAGCTGGCGAGCCACATGCGGCTCTTTGGCCCCTTGAGTGTGGCTCTTCCTAAGCCTTAGGAGTAACCTAATTAAGTTAATAACAATGTACCTACCTATATAGTTTAAGTTTAAAAATTTGGCTCTCAAAAGAAATTTCAATTGTACTGTTGATATTTGGCTGTTGACTAATGAGTTTGCCGACCACTGTGATAAAGGATCCAGATGAACAGTCGGTGAAGAGGTACATAAGGCAAAGTCTGAAAGGGTCCAAGGCACACAAGCTTCTGGTTTGTGGAGTTGGGGTGCTCCACCCTCCCAACATGTGAATATGCTCCCCAATCCCAAAGCCTCTGAACCCTGTATTTAGTGATTTTTCTGAGGCTTCATCAGGGAGGCTTGATTGGTTATTAACTTAATCTTCAGGCCTTCTCTCTTCCCCGAGGGTGGCCAAAGTTCCAAGCTTTTTATCTTGGTTTGGTCTTTCTGATCACCTGTGCCCATCCTGAAGCTGTACAGGAGCCCACCAAGAGTCACCTCACTGGAACAAAGATGCTCCTGTCACCCAGGAAATTCAAAGGGATTTAGGGGCTCTGTGTTAGGAACCAGGGTCAAAGACCAAATAGAATAAAAAGTTGCTTCTAAGCATCTTTTTCACATACCTTGCTCTTCTAATGGATTGTTTACTGTGTATGTGGTTTTATAACACTATGCATTGGTAATTTAGAAATTAATTCCTTTCAAATATTGGAAGAATCTTTACATTATAAAACAAATTGAAATTGTTAACATCACGTGATTTCATCCTTTATAATAAAAGGGTAATATGCAAATCGACCGAAAGGTGGAATGACCAGTCACTATGATGCACACTGACCACCAAGAGCAGACGCTCAATGCAGGAGCTGCCCCCTGGTAGTCAGTGTGCTCCCACAGGGGGAGCACCGCTCAGCCAGAAGCCAGGCTCATGGCTGGAGAGCACAGTGGTGGTGGTGGTGGGAGCCTCTCCTGCCTCCAAGGCAGTGCTAAGGATGTCTGACTGACAGCTTAGGCCCGCTCCCCCAGAGGCTCCCGGACTGCAAGAGGGCGCAGGCTGGGCTGAGGGACCCCCCTGAATGCATGAATTTCATGCATCGGGCCTCTAGTCAGAAAAGATTTAAAGTACTGGGAAGATATAAGTTCAAAATGGTGGAAACAAATTTAAAAAGTTCCAACTTTGCTTGAAAATTCCATATTAATCATTGGCAACAAATACTGTTAATTTGTTCTCTTCCAAGTGACAGACTCACTCAGTTTACTTTGAGAAAATGTCTGTCAAATACTGACGTCTGAATACTTATAGTCTGTAGTTTGTTGGTGTTCTTTCAAGTAAAAGTAGTGTTCCATGAAAAAGTCAGCCTTTCAGCCTGTCGCCCAGGCATTGCGTTGGTGTTTGCTCTCAGCAGCCACATGATCTGCATACATAGCATAAGTACTTCTGATTTCATCATACAGTATCAATGAACATGTAAGTCAGTGTTTCAGATTTAATAAAAATTTCCCCTTTTTATCAAGGACTTAAGAGAAACTAGACTTTTTCTTTTTGAATAGTTAGTGTGCATAGTTGTGAGTAGTATAATGAATTGCGCACACACTTGGTTCTACTGCCTTGATTTTTGCTAAGATGCAGCAATTTTAGGCACTATTGTTTTTGCATCATTAGTGCAAATGTGACCACACTAGAATAGGAAAGTAATATGTTAGTATTGTCATGAGAATATTTTTTACTTAAGGAATCCCCTTTTCTAATAGGGTAAGGGGATCCCCAAGGATCCATGGACCACACTTGGAGAACTTCCAGTATAGAGGAGAGAACACTTGATTTAATAGTTAGAAGACTTAAATAGAAGCCTGTCTGCATTCTTTATTCTATAATGTTACACTTCATTTTTACAACCTCGGTTATCTCATTTATGAAATAGGGTTAAAAACATCTTACTTTGTTATTTCCTTTTTTGGTGTTTGAGTTACAATAGATAAATTATGAAATGCTCAATATAAGTTGTTGCTATTTCTAATTTAGTTTTCTGCTCTAGCCATTTTGGTTTACTTGTCAGTCATGAAACAGTAAACACTCCTCATCATTTCAGAGAAATTTAAAACAGGAGTTTGATTCTTCAGAAATCACTGGAGGAACTGCAGCTCAGCCAGCTGATAGGATTCCCAACCCTTGCAGTCTGGCTAGCCAGAGAAGCTGCTCCCTCTGCCACAGTCAGGATTGTAGTGGATCAGAAGGCTGCCTCTGGGACTGCTGAGTTCAAGGACATACCTCTGTAGCTGTGGCCCAGGGAACAGGCAGCCAGGATTAGGTAGCTGCCACTGAGCTATGCCTGGACATTGGGATTCAGAGTTTGGTTGCCACTTCTCTATTGCTGACATCCCTTCAACGGAAACTGGACACTGGAATGCTCTATGGAACAACCATATCTATCTGTTCAATCATATTGGAAACCACAGCCAAAAGCAGTAGGATAATGGTCTCCCCCCTCACTCTGCCTTCCAAATCTCATGTTCATGCATCCAGTTGGGAGAACCTAAATTTTACCCAGAACTTGAACCACAAGTAGATTGGGAAAATAAGTTTGTTTGTTTCAATCTTTCCAGCTTTCATAGTTGAAGATAGCACACTTGAAGGATGAAAGAATGGAGTCTGTGGGCTAATTGATTGTATCCCCAAAACCTGTCTTTCTGCTTCTTTGTTCTTTTCAAATTATTTCCTTTACTTCCATTATTCTCTCTTTACTCACCCAAGTTATAGTCTTTACTTAATGGGCAGGATTTAATGACTCATTATTTATTTAAAATATGTTTTTTATTTTGAGAGAGAAAGGGAGAGTGAAGGATAGAAACATCAATGATGAGAGAGAATCACTGATTGACTGCCTCCTGCATGTCCCACACTAGGGATCAAGCCCACAACCCTGGCATGTGCCCTAACTGGGAATCGAACTGGTGATGTCCTGGTTCATGGGTTAATGCTTAACCACTGAGCCACTCTAGCTGGGCAATGACTCATTTTAATAGGGCATTTTATGCCCCTCTAGTCCTACCTTTTTCTTCATCATTTTTTATACTGGATTGGATGGTAACACCCAGGTAACATCCACCTACAGCTCTGGTCTAGTGAACTTGGGTTTTGTAAGCCAGACTGAGGAAACCTTTAGCCTGCTGGTATATGCAGGCATATGCCATATTTCAGTTACCCTAACTACTATAACTTGTTCCATATTTTACTTGGAATTTTTTTTTGGCTCCTACTTAATACGTTTTTGTGAGACTTATTACTAGTATACTAAGGACATTAAAATAACCCCTTCCATAGCTAACTATTATTTCTAATATTTGTGTAAGCTACTGTTTGGAGAAAAAAAGTATGGATAACAATCAATGTAGGCTTCTGAAACTGTCAATATACATTATTTCTTTCTCATTAATTGTGGAATATTCTTCTCTAGTATCTGTATACAACCCTTTAGCCAGATGATAAAATGCAGTTACCTTATTTCCAATGCCCTACCCCTTTTTGTTTGTTTCTCTCTTGTTAAATTCCAGGGTTACAGAGACAAAAAATAATTTTAACATTTCTCAAATATAAATAAAAAATGAATACAAAACTTGTTCAAAATATCAATAAGCGTAATTCCAACCACGCAAAGGTAATAACAGCTATACTACTTTCTCTTACTCACCATATTGTTTTGTAATCTCCTACTTAGCAACATGCTGTGCCTCCTATCATTGTTTAAATGATAATGGGAGTATTTTTGGCGTCTTTTGGGTTAAGGAAATTAACCAGTTTACATTGGCAAATTAGATTAAAAAGTGTTTGTTTGTTTTTCTGAAGATGATAATTATAGCCTTTTTTTTGGATAAAGAATACTTATAGCTATCAAGATAATTTTCTTTTGCTAGAAAAGAAATAGTGTCATTTATTTGTATTTTCTTGTTGTGAAATAAAATCTTTTTGTTAAATTTAAAGGACTGCATGTTTATTAAATACTTCAGAAGGTAGAGTGCTTAATATAGAAAGTAAAAGATCCTTACACTTCCTCCTCTGTTAACTGTCCTCCCCAAAATTAACCACTTTTAACAGTTTGGTACATACTTTCAGACTTTTAAAAATGTATATATATGGTCAGTTTCTGAAACCTAATTTTAGAGAGCTCCATTATTAATTGTTATACTATGATAGATAATAGCTAGGTTGTAAGGCTACACTCTAGTGTGTGTGCATTTGGGTTAACTTCAAAAAGCATAAATGTAGATGCTTAGTTGATTTCGATTTTTGTTGGTAAAGAAACTTATTAGCTTTTAATCAGACACTTTGTAGTAAATATTGAGATTCCTTTGCAATGAAAAATATTTATGCTCTTATTGTTTTAGGTATATCTTAGAGAAGAACATTAAATTTTGAAGTAAAGCAATTTATAATTGGTTTGCATTCTCTTCAGAGAGGCTCTTATACAGAATTAAGTTGGTGCTGACTTTGGTTTGAAAGGGTAATTGCGTATAACTCCATGATAAGAATTATCTTTCGTTTTGTTTGACTTTTAATTTTGAGTAAGATAGTTTTGCTTTTCAGATGTGATTGATCTCACTGGAGATGATAAAGATGATCTTCAGAGAGCAATTGCCTTGAGTTTGGCGGAATCAAACAGGGCATTCAGGGAGACTGGAATAACTGATGAGGAGCAAGCCATTAGCAGGTAAAAACCATAATGTGTATAAAGTAGATATAAGTACTATTTATAATAGACATAATAATTGGCTTAATTTCAAGAGGCACAAAGATACACTTTGTTATTCTAAATAAACTCTTAATATACTTCAGCATTGTTTTTGTATATTATGTAACTAAAATTTTCATATTCTAGTTCCATTTGAATATGAAGCTTAGATTTTAGGATTTGAAGTGGCATTATGGGGCATATGTTTAGGTGTATAGTTTAATATTCCTTTGATTTTTCTTTTCTTCTGCTAATCTCTTTTACATTCTCCAATTTAATTTATAATTATTTATAGCTAGAGTCAGCAAACTTTTGTTTTTGTAAAGGCCTATAGTACCAGTAAATATTTTAGGCTTTGTTAGCGATATAGTTTCTGTCAAAATCACTTCACTCTGGTGGTGTAGTGCAAAAGCAGCCATAGATCATGCATAATTTAGTGATTGTGTCTGTGTTTCAATAAATCTTGGTTTTATCAAAACAGGCTACAAACTGGATTTGGCTCATGGTCCATAGTTTGCCAGTCTCTCATCTATATAATATGATGGTATAAGGTTTATTTTTTGTGTTTTTTTTTTTTTGTTTTGTTTTTGTATTTTTTTAAGGAATTGGCAAGATCCCAAGGAATGTGATAGAATGCCTCTTTTGTTTTAAATAGCTAAAACTTTTTAGTTTTAAACAATTTGATCCACCAAAGAATCAAATAAGTAAATTTGATTTTTTTTATCACAAAACAGTGATAATTTTTTTAAAAGTATTTAAATTATCACTAACTGTAATCTAAACAACTCTTTGGAGGTGTTGGTAACTTACTGAAGAGGAAATTTATCTTTTAAGAGGCTAACTGATTTCTTAAAAGTTCACAGCTAAGATGGGTCTTATGACTCCAGCATTCTTTTTCCCTACAACAGAGGTTGGTAGCTAAATATATCAGCTTTCTCAGATAATTTCCCTTGGCATAATATCAATAGTTACTTCTTTTAAGTACTCTGAAATTACTGTATAGTAGGAGATTCTCAAAATACTATGTTTATGCTATGCACATAATTTTTCTTAGTGATACTTTTAAATGTCTTTAAATATTACTTAAGAAACTATCTTGTAAGACATTATATTAACATGGAAAGAGTTAATTAAAATTCATTATCCTTTTTAGTGTGGCTAATATAACTTATTGTCAGTAATTTTAAATGAAAACCAAAAATGCATAGGCTATCTTTAGATATTTTATTTAGGCTTATTTTTGTGAAGGATTTGGAGAAATTATAAAATTAGTTTTTATCTTAAGAAAATAGTTTAAAATAATTATCTTGAGTAATTATAAAACTTGACCATACTTAAGCTTTGATAAGAAATGTTTAAACATGAAATACATGAGTTGTATTTCATATTTAAGGGGAATGATGATCTATTATGTGAACAAGAGGTTGTAAGATATTGGCAGTTTTATGTCACGTATTTTCTAATTTTTTTTAACATATAAAAAATGATTTTATCTGAAAATATCCAAATATGAACACACTAGGTATTTTCTAATTTTAAAATAATATGTACTAATTATATAGTAAAAAGTAAAAATAAAGATAGGGGATTAAGACTATTCCTAATCTGTTATTAAGTTCAATCTATATGTTGTTCTAGATACTCATTCTTTTCCAAGGGGAAAAATTTCTTAAGATAATTTTTTTTTGTATTATTGGTTTTTTAAATTTTAATGTACTTTTAAAATAGTAAATATTTTGTGAATATTTATATTGTGGGTAACATTACAGAGATTTGGAATAGTGTAATTTTATATAAAATTATACTCTGTAGAAACAAAAAGTTATTAATTTACTGTTGCAAAGTGTAATTTTTTCTTGGTATATATAGATTTTATAATTTACAGTTTTCAAATGTTAAATGTAAAATGTGCAGTTAATAAGCATGTATATAAATCACATTGTGTCAGAAAAAAGGGAAGGTAAGAGTTCTAGCTAAACTTTTGGCAGAGATATATTTGTTCCTCTGGGTTTTTTAAGGCTAGGACTTAAGTTCAAAAGGGAAAATGATGCATTTTAATGGAAAAAAAAAAAGTCATGCTTAAAAGTAAATTTAACTGTTTGTTCATTACCCAAGTTCAGATGACAAAATGTTGCCAAATTAAATCCTAGAATCATTTGACTATGTTTCTATTTTCATAGACATACAGGGTGAGGTAAAAGTAAGTTTACAATTGTTCATATGGAAAGTAATATAATAATTAATAAATAATACAAGATAAACTTGTTTCCCATACTCACAACTGTAAACCTACTTTTGCCCCACCTTGTACCCTAATATGAGTTCACATATTTGAAATACTACGTTATTATATACAATTAGATGAGATGAAGTCTGTCTTTTTACATCTTACAATCTTGTGTTTAGTAACTCATGAATTTTATGGTATGATCTCTTAAGTTGAACATTTTTATTTTTTATTTATTTTATAAGAAATGTATGTGATATTTACATATATCAGATATGTCTAAATATATAATTATACATATCAACAATTGCTTTATATATGTCACTTATGAATCTATGCTTGCAAACAATATTAAAGTGTACTACTTAATATAATTACTTCTTAATTTAGTAAAAACTAAAGTAAGTGAAAGAAGGAACCCAAAAGAATAAGTTTGGAACACTGAAAGCCACTTTCTGACATGATGAATTTACTTGTGTGTATAAACTTGACCTTTAGTTATAATACACTTTAGAATGTGGGAAAAAGAAGTCTCAGGCCATTGTCTATGTATGGTGGGGAGCTTATTCCCCTCATTAAATGGTTATGCCAAGGGATGACATACTCACAATAAGGGTAAAATGAGAATCATCTCCCCCTTCAAAGCCCATACAGCACTACAAAGTTAGTTGCCTTGGCTCTGAGGATGTAGGTAATTGGACTTGCCCCTGAGGAGTTGTATTATGGTTTTGAAGCTGAAATCTGTGTCACTTTAATGGTCCAGTAAATCTTAACTTGGGAATTTAGTTTTAAAATGTGTTGGATTTGTGTTGTCTATAATTCCTGGCAGAATCAAAAATACATTCTATATTTAAGAAGGTGTCTTCAACTTTAGCCTCAAAGAACCCCCTTCAGTAACTCTATAAGCACCACCAGTCAAATTTACCAAGCATACTTGGGAAAAAGTTACTGTGAGAATCAGCAAAAATTATAGGCAGCAGAAATGCACCCATTTCTTTAGACGTTGTGATTGATGGAATTATGCTTAGGTTTTATTGGGGAAAGTTGCTCAGAGTATGACACTCTTATTTATTTTTTACCATTTTTTTCTTTGTTTTTAGCATTGACACTAATACAGACATGCCCCATTTTTCCTTCATTTCCTTTCTTCTGGCCATCACCACACTGTTTCCTGTGTTCATGGGCTATGCATATACTACAGGCCCAGTGCACAAAATTTGTGCACGGGGAGGGGAGGGTGTTCCTCAGCCCAGCCTGCACCCTTTCCAATCTGGGAACCCTCTCACAATCCAGTACTGCTGGCACCCAACCGCTCGCCTGCTTGCCTTCCTGATTTCCCCTAACTGCTTCTGCCTGCCAGACTGATCACCCCCTGACCACTCCCCTGCCAGCCTGATCGATGCCTAACAGTTCCCCTGAAGGCCCGATCGCCCCTACCTGCCCTCCCCTGACAGCCTGGTCACGCCTAACTGCCCTCCCCTGCTGGCCCAGTTGCCCCCAACTGCCCTCCCTTGCAGGCTTGGTCTCCCCAAGTTACCCTTCCCCTTTGGCCTGATCGCTCCCAACTGCCCCCCCCGCAGGCCTGGTCCCCCCTAACTGCTCTCCCCTGCAGGCCTGGTTGCTCCCAACTGTCCTCTCCTGTTGGCCTGGTTGCCCCCAACTTCCCTCCCTGCAGGGCTGGTCCCCCCGAACTGTTCTCCCCTGCAGGCCTGGGTCCCCCAACTGTCCCCCCCTGCAGGCCTGGTCCCTCCTAAACTGCCCTCCCTTGCAGGCCTGATCGCCCACAACTGCCCTCCCCTGCCAGCCATCTTGTGTCCACATGAGGGTGGCCATCTTGTGTGTTGGAGTGATGGTCAATTTGCATATTGCCGCTTTATTAGATAGGATGTCCTGTGGCTAAGCTTTTAAAGGAAATGCTTGAAAATATGACCTAACACATTTGAAAAAGAATTGAAATATCTTTTGGAAATGAAAATTAAAATATTAAAAAAAATACAACACAGGTTTAATAACAGATTAGAAATAGCTAGACTGGAAGATATATAAGAAGAAAGTATCCAACCTGTAACAGTCAGCTAAAAAGATGAGAAAAAGTTGCAAGATATGGAAAATAAACTGAAAAAGTCTAACATATTAATTAATATTGTAGGAGAGGAGAGAGTGGGTCAGAGACAAAATTTAAAGATGTGGTCACTGAGAATTTTTTAGAAGTGAAGAGAAAACCTGTTATTTCATAAAGCCCAACAAATCCCAATCATGAAAAGGAAAAGAAACCACTTAAATTCATTATAATGAAAGTCCAGAGCACTTAAGATTGAGAAAATCTTAAAAGTACTTAGAGAAAAAGGTGGAATTATCCTAAAAATAGTGACAGTGAAAGTGACAAATGACACAAATTGACACAGACATATGAAAATAATAAAATAATGTCTAGTGAATGGAAATACAGCTGCCAGAATCCTGTACTGGGTGAGACAGTGTGGGGTGGTCTCACCATGGGATTGCTTTTTGTGATGAGGGCTCCAGAGGCAGTTCTGAAAGGCAGGGGTTGTTCCTGTCTCTCCTATTCCCATGTCTCCCACACCTAGATGCAGGTGCTTGGGCTGACTCCATTACTACAAAATCAGTGCATCCCATTCCTGTGGTTATAAGTTCTTCTTTTTTCTAATAACTTCCTAATTGCACCCCACCTTTCATTCAGAAAGCCAGGTACAAAAGGAACAAAGGCATTTTTATAAAATTACAGGGGACA